TTTTGATTGAATGAATGTTTTCCTGTTGTGTTTATTTATTTTGATTATAAATATTTTGGAATGTGGGAGAATAAAATTATTTGAAAAGCTTGCATGAAAAAAATAATATAATTTATATAAAAGATATACAAATAAAATATGAATTGACTTTAAATGACTTGGAAAATAAAACAATTTTTTCATAAAAAACATAAAAAAATTGTAAAAATAGTAAAAAAAGAAAATTAAACCAATTAAACAAAAGATTTTTGTTAGCTACATTTAGAATTTTTTATCAGATGCAATAGTCAAAATTCATGTTAAAAGTCTTTGCAAACGTACCGTTGAAGAAGTTTGGAGAAAAAAAAATTAGCAGAGAGGAATGTAATTAATGAGTTATTAACAATAAAATATCGTATTAAAATTAATTGATTAATTTAGTAATTAATTAAAATTTTTGTGACTTTATTGAAAAATAATTGACTCAATTTTTTATTTCATTTCGTTGAATAAATCAAATTTTTCGCTAATACCCATCATTAAATAATTTCAAAAGTACAAATAAACAACAAGTGAACCAAATTATTCCCACAAGACAATCAGTCACGTGTAAGTGTACGGTGAGATATACGAGGGTAGGTGGGGCGTGTGATGGGGTGTCGGGGTCGGCAGGCCCCCGTACAAACTCGAACTCGGCGGCCCGCTACTCCAGTAACTGGATGGAGTCGGGAAATATGTGGGCCCTACAGGGCTCGATGTGATGCCCGGGTGTGGATGATGGGGATGGTGGGGGTGATGTGTCATACTTTTAACCCCCATGAAACCGGTGAATTGACTATTGGTGGTGGACGTCGAATGGTGATGAGGATGATGCGGATGGTAAGGCGACATTAGAAGCTCTGGTGGCGGGTAGCGGTATGTTGTGGCGTTGATGACGGGGTCAACTGTGGCCGGCTGCATCGTCTGTGCCAGTCCTGCGAAGTCGAATTTGTAAGCGTACCTCTTGCCGTGGACCTTCGTCATTATGTTCTTGTCGTAGTAGTATCTGGTGGTGGTTGACAAGTTAGGTGAATTGATAGGCCGTTCAGTTGACTATACAACAGTATACATTAAGTGAAATTGAAGTGAAATTTGAAATAAAATTTGAAACAAACCTCAGGGCCCGACTCATCTTGTCGTAGTTCATGTTCGGTTTAGACTTCCTCTCGCCCCACCTGCGGGCCACCTCGTCGGGATCGATCATCTTGAATTCGCCATTCGTGCCTTCCCACGTGATGCAACTCGAGTTACCGCAGTCCGACAACAACTCCAGCAGGAACTGCCACAACTGGATCTGTCCGCTTCCTGGTGCAAGTTATGTCACGGTGTTAAAGATGTGTGCACGGTGAAAAATATTTTGATTTAGATGAAGAATCAGTATTGCTATGTTTACATTTTTTAAATGTCTACACTGTTTTTTATTTATCTTTATTGAATTTAAATTCTGCGACGGCATAACAGTTAAAGTGCCTGCCATTGATGTCGCAGTGACCTGGTTCGATTTGATAGAGATTCTCGCCTGCCTATCACGTGCAATGTGCGTGATGTGTTTGATGAGGGTATCTACATGCGGTGTTTGTGTGTGTATGTGCGTGTGTGTGTGTGTGTGTGTGCGTGCTTTTCCTACTTATGAGAAATAATACTACACAGAGAGAATTAATAAGATAATTAAAAATGAATTAATTTACATAGGATAGACCTAATTACATACAACCATCTAATTTATTTTCACACCCCGTCCCCAAATAATAACAATCTTCTTATTAAGTTATTATTTCTTTTTGTCCATCAAATCTAATTCGACATTTTTCTAAGATGAAAAGGAACATAAAACGGAAGTGCCATTTCCGTCAAAATGTTACCAAAGATTATATACTTCTATACACTTGCTTGTTCGTATATACATGCATTTATTTACGTACATATTTGCATGCAAACATACACATACATACAAATATTTTCGTATATACAATAAACACACACACATATACAATGTTACGATATGATAAAAATATACACAGAATGTGTGTGTGTGTGTGGGGGAGCGCGTGTGCGTGTGTGCGAGTGTGTTTATGAGATGCATTAGTCATAATTCTCCTTGATAATAATTCAACAGAGCAAAACGGCTTTCTGGAAAATTGTCTCTTATAATGGCATCTAAGTATGCAACCTGATGTAATTTCAATAACATGCACACGCACACAAACAAACACAGACACATACACATACACAAACACAGATGCTCATACACAGACATACACAAACACAGACATCTACACATACACACATCTATGATAATTGTATGTTAGCATGTGTGCATATGAGCAACCGGAGCAAAAAGCTAGTTGTGCTTCTGCCGTTAAACCATTTTAAAACCGTATTTGTTTACTGGCTTTGCATTAGCAGGTTAAAATCCAAGTGTCAATCAATCATTCATTCATTTATTCATTATCACTCATTCAATCATTCATTTCTTCATTTGTTCATTATTTTTTCAACCATTCAATTATTATTATTTGATTGTTTTTAATTATTTATAAATTCATTCATCTGACCGTATAATTGTTTATATGTTTAGTCATTCCTCTATCCATTAATTCATCTACCTATCTATCCATCTACCATCCACTCGTCCTATCTTTTTATTTATCCATTCATTCATCAATTCCTTAATCCATCCATTCATCAATGCACACAGTGGACTAATCGTTTAACATGTCAATCAGTGAAACGTGAACAATACTCTTGTTGTATGTGTATGATAGTGGATGATTTTGATAAATCTATGGCTATTACTACTGCTACTGCTGTTACTGCTCATGATGATGATGACGATGATGAAGATGATTAAGATGATGATGATGATGATGTTGATGACGATGCTACAACTGATGATGTTGATGATGATGACACTTATAACAATGATGATAATGATGTTTGTAATAATGATCATGACGATGATTATGATGACAAACGTGAATAGACCAATCAAATCTTGGGGGAAAAAAGGTCTCCCATAACGACAACAAAACAGAGTAAACTCAAACCAGGAAAAAAAATTACGCTCCTCATAATGTCTTTTAACGATTTTTATAAAGTGTTTCATGCGTTCGTTTTTCAGTGTCTTTTGGTAATCTTTGTGTAAACTAAAGCTCTTTCTTATACACGTAAGAACACTTCATTATTCGTTATTGAAGCAATAACGAAAACAACATCCAAAATAATGATAATCATAATAATAATCGCAATAATAATAATAAAAACTTTGTATGTATATATATATATATATATATATATATATATATATATATATATATTCATATACGTATATGTAGAAGGAGAGAGAGAGAAAAAGAGAGATATAGAGACAATCTTTCTCTCTTTCTCTCTCTTTCTTTCTTTCTCTCTCTCTCTCTTTCTCTCGACGAAATAGCACAAATAGGTTTAGCATTGTTATCTGTTGACGACCTTGTTTTCAAATGAAATGATATGATACCAATGACAACAACAACAACAACAACATCATGATTCTCATCAACAACATTTGCAACAACAAAAATAGCAAATAACAACGTTAAGAGCATCAACAACGTTAACGTGAAAAATGATGTTTTGTAATTATGTTGAGTATGATCAGTGTTCAGTGTTCAAGTTTATTTTCTATCAATCAGACAATCAATCAATTAATCATTGTCAATCAATTAATCAATATCAATCAATCAATCAATCAATCAGTCAGTCAATCAGTCAATCAATCAATCAATCAATCAATCAATCAATCAATCAATCAATCAATCAATCAATCAATCAATCAATCAATCAATCAATCAATCAATCAATCAATCAATCAATCAATCAATCAATCAATCAATCAATCAATCAATCAATCAATCAATCAATCAATCAATCAATCAATCAATTAATCAAACAATCAATCAACCAACCAATCGATCAGTCAACTAATATTTGGATAAATGTTTGTTTACACTATTACAAACCCAACCCAATCAATCAATCAATAAAATAACACTACCAATCAGTGAACGAATCAATCGATAGACCAAGATACATAAACGGATGGCTCAAATATTTGTATTAGCACACAATACGCTATGTGTGCATGGATGTTTGTATATTGATATGATTGGTTAATGTTTATTGAATGTAGCAATGCAAATACGTAAATTTGTCTTCAGAACATATTGAGAGGAAGTTAGTATGATTGGTTAGTTGTGTTGTGGCAGGGGTTTGTTTGCTTAATACAGTGCTTGGTTTCTAAAGTTGTTTTCGTTGTTGTTGTTGATGTTGTTGTTAATGATGATGATGGTGGTTGCTAAAGTCGTTGTTGTTGTTGATGATGATGGTTATAGTGATGATAAAGACGACGACGATGATAGCGTTGATATTTCGTTTCTTAAGAGTTTCTATCTGACTAATGGCCCTTTTCAAGTCTCTATCGACCGTTCATACAAGTGTCACAGTAAGAATGTAACTACTTAACGATGATGACGACGACG